TGACATACTTAAAATCGTGGACTGAAATCAAGTTTCGAAAGGCTGGGGTCTGAATACACTGTGGTGTCTAGGATTTGATCCTAGAGCCGAGAAAGGGCATTAGATAAACTGGTGAAGTGTACAGATAATATTTAGAGTTTAGTTAACTGTAATGCACCGAGGCTGGTTTCTTGGTTTTGACAAATGTACCACAGTAACAATACGTTAACATTAGGGGAAACTGGGTGACTGTATCCAGAAACTCATCTGTATTATCTTCTGTGAATCTAAAATTATCACAAAACTAGAAATTTATTTTTAAAAAATAGGGGGAAAAAAGGCAGGTAAAATAAAGCAAGCTGACAAAGATGACTGAGGTGACCTGTACAGCTGCAAAGAGACTTAAGGAGTCAAAGGAAAAACAAGACACTGAGCAGTAAAATCTTGTACTTTTATCAGAACATTGACCAATTACCCCTCTTCTTCTCAAATAGCACAATCAAACAATAATAATAATCCCCGTTCTGGGAATCTATTCAAAGAAACAACCCCTTATAAAGCTTTCACGTTATATATAAAGATGTTCACAGAATTTTTTAATAATAAAAAATGGGAATAATCTAAATAGAATAATAGTTATATAAACCTATTATTAGACCTTTCTCCAAATTCCTCCTAAGTCTCCCTAACAAACTTCTCTATTTTTTATGCCACACTTCCTTGTCACTGCTTCTAGATAGTTGATTTGTATCACAACTATACATGACACCTATTTAAATCACATCCTGCTGACAGAGTACTTTAATATTTGTTTCATGGTCTAGATTATGAGATCCTTGAGAGCAGAAACTAAGTTATATTCACATCAGAATCCTTAGCACATAGCAGTTAGTAAATAAATGTTGCAGAAATGAAATGTTAAATTATATAGGAGTCACATTTGGATGAGTCTAGTCTCACAGAGGACAAATCCAAATTTTTTGAAGATCTATACACTAAGCAGAAGCTGCATGTATCAGAAGGCCTAAGTAAGCCACAGGTAGCCCCAGGGGTAGCAGATTTCCTATCAGAGGATACAGAGGTACCTGTAATATTCTGACAATGTCGATAAATAGAAGGGCTACTTTCATGGAGGGAGTATTAACAATATGAGAGATTGTGGTGACACTAACATTGTGTATGGGTAAGAATACGAGCTCTGAAGTGATATGGCCCTAGGTCTGAAGCTTAGCTCTGCCTTAATTTCCTCATCCATATCATGAGGTGACAGTAAATCTCCCTTATAAACTTGTGAGGGTTAAATGAGATGATGCATATAAAAGCTTGGCATAATGCCAAGCACAAAGTAAATATTCAATAAAAGTTAATTTTTATTATTACCATTATTATTGCCTCTTAAACTTCTGGCCTCTACTTACATCAGTTGATTCAGATGTGAAGGAAAGAAATAACCCAAAGGAATCTGGGCAGCATCTGTAAGAACTGTGAAGTTTTGGAATGACAATTTCACATCTGGAGGCATAGTTAATATATTCATCACTTTTTATTATTGGCGATTGGAACTTGGAGAAGAAAAATAAATATTAAAAATCCAGACAATATTTAAGAATGGAATTTAGATTTTAGTTGAAAGTATAGGTTTAGAGTAAGAATTGAAGATGGAAGAAATATGGGACCTGGGAAGAAAATGCTTGCCCAAAGAGTAACTAATCCAAGTTACCACTGTGTTGAAGGTCCAGTGTTTTGTACCAGTGCAACACATGAGTAGTAATAGTAATAGAATAATAGTATGGTAATGATAGTTGCAGCCGTAGCTAATACTTACACAGTACTATGTGGCAGGTACTGTTCTAATTGCATTACTACATACATTAACTCATTTAACCTATTAATTCTTAGACGGAAGCATTTAGGCTTAAGAATCCAACAGGTCTGAAGTTAAATCTTGGCCCTACCATTAATGGCCAGAGAACCTTGGATACGTTACTTCCCTTCTCTGGGCTTTAGTTTCCTCATAACTAACTGGGAGTGAGAACACCTAACCCACAGGGATAATGTGAGGATGATCTGAGATTAAATAATAAATTACCTATCATAGTGCCTGATATCTAGCTGATACCTGGTAGCTATAGCTTTACATTGCTATCAATATTGTAATTATTATTAAATCTTATGACCAAAAACATCATTCTGAAGGCACGCAGAATAAAGTTTTGAAAGCGGAAACTTTTTTCTTCCTTCCTCATTCCTCTTCACCTTTTCAAAAAATGGTAAGCATCCTATATTATTATTAAGCTTTTTCTCAGAATAAACTACACATGAATAAAAAGTAGAATATTATAAAGATAAAAAGACCCTTAGAGTAGCTTTAAAGATTTTTCCCTCTAGGAACAATAGTGGTGAAAATTCTATAGTTCCTTAAAGTAAATAGTAGGGAAAAGAATGAATATGGCATATGGCTGGGGGAATCTTCCGAAGAAACTACTCCACACAACCATCCCCTTTTCTCTTCTCTGCCTTTTAAGGTTACGGTAACATAATAGAAAATCTGAGACTCACACCATCTGTTCAGGCAGTTCTATCACTGCTCATTTCTCTCGTTAAATAATCAGAACACTCTCCACTTCCCAAACACTGCTACCATAAAGAGCAGTTAAAGCACAATGAAAGAAGACTTTTCTAGCCAGAGATGTAGTGGTTAGAAGTGCATAGTTCTTTTGAGGTCTGACATGGGATCATGTCAGTGAGAAGAAAGAAATCCTTCTAAAAAAGCCTTAGAAGAAAAATTAAGACTAACATGATTATAATACGAGCTTCAGAAATTACTTTTCTTAGAACAAAGGTGACATTCTCATATGAGTTCTCTAAGAATAGGTGTGGCAGTTTAATATTGAGATAATTATATAGGTTTCTGATCTGTAAATTTCTTATAAGACTAAGAAGAGAAATACTACTGCTACAGAGAGTATTAATAATAGCAGCTAATAATTACTTAGCACTCAGGACATGCTTAATTATCTTCAAAACCCTTTTTGTGTATTAACTCACTTAGTTCTTAAAACCATTCTATGTAGGAATTTCTATTATTGTTCCCATTTTACATTTGAGGAAACTTAGGTACAGATAATATAGCTGATAAAATGGAGAGCTGGGATTCAAAAACAAGCAGACTGGCTCCATGTCTTTAATTTCTATGCTACACTATCTCCTAGTTTAAAAAAAAGCCTCTAAATTATGTGTTAAATTTGGCATCTTTATCATATTTGAATAAACAAACTATAGCTAAATGTCAAAAACACTTAGCTCCCTATTCACCTAGCCATAGTGAGAGTGTCAATTACAAATTCATTAACTTACTAATTTCTGTCTTATAATCTGAGCTTACTCAGCATGAAGGTGTTTGTTGTCATAAAGCAAAATATTTTTTTTATAATAAATGAGTTTCGGGAATATGCTCCAGGATCAGGGTCAATTGGGATACTTCATTACTTTGAGAAAAAGGTTTGGATTACTCTCAAACCTCCAGAACCAGTTTAACCTTACATGGAGACTCCCTGCCTTCAAACAGATTCAGTGATCCCAGTAGGATATGTCTAAGTACCCAGGAGAAACCAGTCCAAGTTTGGAATTCTTCTTCTATGCTATGTAGAACATTCCCCAATGCTCCCAGTGGCTCAATCTCAGCTAGTTGGTGAGGGAAATTTATGCTACTGGTCATATAACAACCATAAGAATGACAATAACGACAGCAATCACATTAGCAATCATAATATTAATAATATTAAATAATAATAACAATGGTAACCACCACTTACTGATAATAAGTGCTAAGCATTCCGCTAAGTACCTCATACTGTCAGGTGTATTACAGAGGCAGTAGGGGGTAGTGATTAAAAGTATGAACTCTAGAGACAGGCTGCTGTCTGACTTATTCGCTGTGATGTTGAACAAACGACTTAAATTCTCAGTGCCTCATAGACTATCTGTGGTTGTTATGAGGATTAGATGTGTTAATACATGAAACATGTTCATAGTAGTGCCTGATACACAGTAGTACTACGCAAATTTAATGGATGAGGGGATTAATGTTCAGAAAAGCTAAAGGCCACAATTAGGGTGAAGCTGAGGCTTCCCGGGTCTGCCTGATTCCAGAGCCCTTGCTCTCTGGGTTCTCTTTCGCATTCGTTCTCTCTCTCTCAGAACTGTGAACAGGCCAACTGCATCATAAAGGGCACTCAGTTACTCTAACTTCATTTTTGTCTTTCGTCATCAAGGAGTTTGACTATGGCAGTATTAAAAAAAAAAAAAAGTTCAAAATGCCAATCTAACATATTGCAGTCCATCAATTAATTCAGAATTGAGACACTCTCCCCTGCAATTTTCTATCTGAATCATGTGTCTTAAGATTATAATTGGCAGTGTCTTTCCTTTCTTGGTAGCACATAAAATAATGGTACATCTTACAATGCATATCACCTTACATTTGACAAAATACAGTAGCTGTTAAGCCCGATCACTATCCTTTAAGGATTAGCCCTCAGTCTATGTTAAAGGCACATTCCAGAGCTTGCCCAGCATTCATGACCTCAGCTCCAGCCAATCCCAATCTCCTCACTTAAACTTCACGTGACCTTAACAATCTCCTTCTTACTGACCCTTACCCATTCTCATCAAATTATCAAGCTCCTACAGCTCTAACAGTCAATCCGTTTTTTGGCTCAGGCTCTGGGCCTGATTTTTCTGTTCCTTATTTTGGCTTTCCCTTTCTGATGACTCAAGGGCTTCCAATCACAATGACCCTATGGACTGACAAACCCAGGGGCACTTCCTCCACAGGGACTGTCCTTATAAGTAGTCCTCACTTCTCAAGCATAACTGGGCTCTCTGGGAAAGCTGAGAAAGTATTAGCTAACGGTGAGACTTGACAGTCTTTTTTTCCCCCCATTTTCAGTTACTTCCTTATTTCTACCTTCTGCAGTTATTACTATAGCCCCTTTTGTAAGTACTTATCTGATTCATACTTAAATTTTTTTCCTGTTTTGGCCTGAGTGCCTCCATTCCACATATAGTCAGTCTCTTCATAGAAGAAAAAAATGTCAAGTTTTACATCATCTTTTCCCTGGAAAGATAGTTCCAAGCTGTCTTCTACCTAGGGAGAAGATGAACATCTTCACAGACTGAAACAAAGGAAGTACATTTTTTAAAATTAAAAAAAAAAAGATTCTTATGTTTTATACAGAGAGAGAGTATAGGTTTCAAGATACTGTTTTTCAAGTTGGAGCACTTCTGAAATTGGGATGCATCAGTAGCACACCATTGTTTGATTTCTCTTTTTTTTTTAACATCTTTATTGGAGTATAATTGCTTTACATTGTTGTATTAGTTGCTGCTATATAATAAAGTGAATCAGCTATACGTATACATATATCCCCATATCCCCTCATTCTTAAGTCTCCCTCTCACCCTCCCTATCCTACCTCTCTAGGTAGACACAAAACACTGAGTTGATCTCCCTGTGCTATGCAGCTGCTTCCCACTAGCTATCTATTTTACATTTGGTAGTGTATGTATGTCCATGCCACTCTCGCACTTCGTCCCAGCTTACCCTTCCCCCTCCCCGTGTCCTCAAGTCCATTCTCTACATCTGCGTCTTTATTCCTGTCCCGCCCCTAGGTTCTTCAGAACTATTTTTTTTTTTAAGATTCCATATATATGTGTTAGCATACAGTATTTGTTTTTCTCTTTCTGACTTACTTCACTCTGTATGACAGACTCTAGGTCCAACCACCTCACCACAAATAACTCAATTTCATTTCTTTTTATGGCTGAGTAATATTCCATTGTATATATGTGCCACATCTTCTTTATCCATTCATCTGTCAACGGACACTTAGGTTGCAAAAATATGTAACGCTTCACGAATCTGCGTGTCATCCTTGCACAGGGGCCATGCTAATCTTCTCTGTATCATTCCAATTTTAGTGTATGTGCTGCCGAAGCGAGCACTGATTTCTTTCTTAAATGCACATAAAATAATATTGCTTTTTACAACTGATGACAACTCAGAGTAAATGACTTATAGTAGTTAAATGGTCACTCTGCAAAACATCCTGTTCCTGAGCCCCTTTCTGACTAAAGAAGGAAAGTAATCAAAGAATAATTATTCCCTTTAATAACCAAGTAAAACTATCAGGAAGTAAGTCTCTCATCACAATCAATAAATGAGTACTTATGTAACTGTGGCATAGAAACCCATATATCAATACATTATATACATGAAAAAAAGAAAAAAGAAGTTAAAAAGTACAAAGAATTCTGAGAGCATTTCCCTAAGAAACTTATCCTACAAATAATTATGTTCCCATTGGACTTGGTGCATCTGTCTGTGGCAGCACTAATCACTTAATTGTTTATGAATTTGTTTTCTCCCAATTAGACAGTGGACTCCTCAAGGATAAAGACTGTACCTTATTCATCTTTGTGTCCTGGGTGCAGAGCTGAGTGCCAGGCAGAGACTGAGTGTTAAGGAAACAACTGCTGAATGACTAGAGTTCTATCGCTTTGCCTTTCACCTCAGGAAGATATTTTATTAAATTTTTAAATAAACTAGAATGATTATGATGAGAGAAGTAATTTTCCAGGAACTAAACATACTTCTACTTGCTTTCCAGGACAACACCTCCCTGGGAACAACCAAATTAAGAGTAAGGTCATTGTCGGGATCATAGGCTTAGGGCATAGGAATCAAATTGTCTAAAAGGAGATTTCATCTAAGCCACAATGACCTATTCCTAGTTGACCTGTGAGAAAACTGCTATGGCCTAGGACATGTGAAATAAAGAAGAAACCCAAGTACTGTTTGAAATGATTCCATATTTTTTTTTAGGCTTTTTTTTTTTTTTTTTGATGTGGACCATTTTTAAAGTCTTTACTAAATTTGTTACAACATTGCTTCTGTTTTGTGTTTTGTTTTTTTTTGGCCGAGAGGCATGTGGGATCTTAGCTCCCCGACCAGGGATCAAACCCACACCACCTGCATTAGAAGGCAAAGTCTTAGCCACCAGACCGCCAAGGAAGTCCCTGTATTTCTAATTCTTAGCAATCAATGGAATGTTTCAAGTTGATAATAATATGATGCCTACGTGAACATAAAATTAAATGACTCATGAGAAAAAACATAACTTCACGTAGGGTAGATGAGATTCTTACTTATTAATCATATATTATATTAATTAATTATGTTATATTATTGCCTAATATAATGGCAATAAATTCTTCTGCAAGAGTCCAAGCTCCTTTTTGCCTTCTCATGGTCAATAGAAAAAGCCAGATTTTCTAGTTTTCCTTAAATAGTGCAGAAGCCACAAGTGGTAATAATCTTCTGCTGAACTCATCCTGGTCGATAATGAGTGATAAAATGCTACATACAGTGCTTTTAAACATCTCTGAGTTGCTTAATATAAACTTTACTTTTGAGACATGTTACTAATGAAGTAAATCAGATTTTTATTACTGACCTTCCCAAATTTGTGTTTGAGTGGGAGTCCTGCATCTTGAAATGCTGAAATAATATCAGATTTGTAATCTTGTATAAAAATTCCTAGGTCAACATCTTTACTATAAGGAATTATGCCGCACTGCCGATACCATCCTAAAAAAAAAGGAATGAGAAAACGTTTTTAAAAACTTAAGTTTGGAAAAAATTAGTCATTATTATAATGGATAGTCTTTGTAACAGTGTATTTTATTTCACAGGATTAGACTTAGTGCGCTTTACCAAAATTAAAAAAAAATTAGATCCCAACTTAGTATCTGTGATTATAGGAGCCACTTGTTGAAGAACATTTCTTTTATTCCTTCCTTCCTTCATTTTTACTGGTTTGAGCACTCAGCAGCCTCAAAAACTTTCATGATGTACTATAATTTCTGAATAAACTATTAGCTTTAATAATGTTAACTGGGCCATCCATTTAAAACATTAAGTTACTTTTTAAAATGTTTAATCATAAATCTCTTATGATGAAGGTTGCTTTTAAGATATGCTGAAAAATATAATTTAATTCTTTTGCTTAAGCTATATCCCTTTCCTGAGCAGTAATTTGTAGAACTTAACAGCTCTGAACAGCTCATGTCTGATGGATCACATAAAAAAGAAGAGCAGTACCAGCCTCAATTTTCAGCATACTGTCAAAAGATATTTCTACATATTTACTATGTATCTACTTCTAAATTGGGTGCTATAATAATGTTCTAAAAAGGCAAAATTTATACCTTAATATTACTAAGGGCTCTCAGTTTCTCTTATTATCCTTCTAATCCTTCCATTCAAAGTATTCAAAAAGTAAATAAATGTCTATGATTATCTTTGGGAAATACTGTTTGGAATTCTAAATTTTAACTTCATTTTAACATAGATCTTTAGAAGCCTAGCATGGGATCTCATCTCTAGTTTAAGAAAAATCTACAATCCACATCTATCAAAGAATCATGAACTACTAAAAATGGAAGGCTCCTTAAGTATCATCTAATCCAACTCCCTCATTTTATAAATGCCCTTAAATTAAGAAAACCATGGGGCTAAGAACACAAAAGATATCATGATAAATGATTACGAAATATTTTTGATGACAGTCTATAAAACAATCTTACTCCAGAAAGTTAAACCTTAAAGCATGTATCACATAAATGAGATGTACTCTTTTTTGGGGGGGTGGGGGTTACTCTAGCTGGAAGCTCCTTGACAGGAAGAACCATGGGAATTTTCCTCAAAGCCTAATTAACAGGATAACCATACATCCCTGTTTACACCTGTTGTACCAACATAATTACTAATGGCACTCCTTTCACTCTCAAAAAGTCTCTTGAATTGGACAATAAATTATATGGTAACCCTATAAAAGCAGGAACAAAATTAATTTTTGTACAAATATAGTTATAATTAAGATAGAACAAATACAGATATAATCAACTACAGTTATAAACAAGAGGGAATAAAAACAAAAAAATGTTTAATTCTAAAATCCAAAGGAGTTTGAGCTAATGCACAATAGAAAGAGATCCAGAAATCTTTCTTGGATTCTACATTTCCCCATCTCAGAATGAACAGAATGTGGTAAGACAGTGATGTCCAATCATGATCTGGAAAAGATTCGTGGAAGACCTTATGACATTCCCTTTCCTCTTAGAAACTTTTGGTGCAATGCAAGTTATCTGTATTGTGTGTAAGTAAAGAAACAGAATACAGTTTTTTTTTTTAAGGTAATAACAACCTTTGGGATAGAAATAATAAAATGCTTATCTAAAGATTATCTGAGAATCACATGTAGTCTACATGTTCTGATATAAATTTTATACAAATTACTTATAATTTTGGGACACACGACATGGCCTTCCTAATTCTCTTTTATGCTTCTGAAGTTATTTCTTTAAAAAAATCAATAAATCCTTGCTCCATGCACTATGTTTATTCTTTCTATAAATATGACGCTTCGAATACCACTGATGCTTTGTCATCTCAAGCAGTCATCCTTAGAGCCAAAGAGGATGAAATATCAAAAAACAAATGTAAAGTAACAAGAATTTTACCTAGACAAGTTCCACTGCTCAGCCAGAACCGTACTCCCAATTTCTTTAATGTTTTGGCTGCTAGTTGCAACAATTCCTTTGCACTCTTCCGAAAGGCCATAGCTTCCACAGTGTTATCATCAAGGTATTGCTACAGATATAATAAATAGTCAGCTATTATAGCCATTTCTAAGTTGCCAGGAATATTTCTGTGACATCCAACTTAAACTTGAAAATTAACCCCATATTATATATTTTCTGATTATAAAAATCAAGTTTCAGAATTCCTTGTTAGTCACACATTAAAATAAGACTATAAGAGTGGATTCTAGGAGAGACAAGTTAAAGGGGAAGGACTATACCCAGGATTCTCAAAGGATGAGATTTATACCTTTATCAACTCCCTCCTCTACATCACAATTTAGCAGACTGGGTAGTTAGGGGACAAGAAGGTTAATTAAGAGAGCTACAGGCATATCTGAAGCACAAGGCCTTCAGTGACGTTTTCATCATTCACTGGTGCAAATGGTCTTTAGGACAGAACAGTATAGTACAAAGAATGTGGGATTTTTTAATCAGATTGTGTTCAAGTCTAAACTCACTTCATTTTAGCTATGACCCTGGGCATAGCGCCTCAGAAGAACATAAGCTCTACGAGGAAAGTGACTTCATTTTGTTTATCACTATATCTCCAATGTCTAAAACAGTACTTGAATGAATGAGAGAATCAAAGAACAAACCTCTCTCAGATATAATTTTCTCATCAATAATTAAAGAATAATAATTATACTTTGCAGGACTGCTGTGAAGATTTAAATGAGATAATGACAGAAAAATGGCTCACAAATTTTGAAATTCTATACAAATATTACTGTCATTTACTTATAGTCTTTTTGCTTTTCTGCTTTTCTTCATTTTTAGGGTGTTCTGGAACTGAAGAAAGCACTGAAAATTCTTCGTTGATGCTTCACTACCTACGGGACAAAAATCTAAACTTCTTGGCATGGCAGACAAGGACACTGTGTTTAAGGCCAGAGTACTGGTCCAGCCTTATCTCCACCCTTCTCATATTTCACTCCCCAAATATATCACAACTTTTCAAGCCTCTGTGTCAACATGTTTCCTCTGTCTGAAATGCCCTTGACTAACAAAATCTTTCAGGTCTCAGTTCCACCCTCTGAAAAACATTCCCTGATTTTCCCAGGAACACAAATGTATTTATTCTCCCAGGGCTCCTCTTCAGCTCAACATTTAAAGAGCAAGAAATTACGTTTGGTACTAGATATAGACAGAGACAAATAAAATAATCTGTTCAGTGACCTTATAACAGTTACCATTTATATATACTTTTATTATAATTGTTATCATATTTAATTCTTTTTGTTCCAGAACAGAAGATCAAAGTCTTTTTCTAAAATTGAATTGTAATTGACATACAATATCATATTAGTTTCAGGTGTACAACATAGTGATTCAATATTTTTATATATTACAAAACGATCACCATGATAACTCTAGCTACCATCTGTCATCATACAGAGTTATTACAATATTACTGACTATTTTCCCTAGTCTGTATATTACATCCCCATGACATATTCGTTTTATACCTGCAAGTTTATATCTCTTAATCCCCTTCACCTATTTCACCCATCCCCCTTATCATTTAATTCTAATTGCTGATTCTATTTATATTTCCTCCAATAGGCTGTAAACATGAATCCTTTAAGGCAAGTACTGAATCTCTCCATCACTGTATGTACAAATTGAAAATGGTGCCTGGTATATAATATGTGAGCAACACATATTGATAAATGCGTAAATGAGTAAATAACTGACTAATCCCCTCCCATCCCACAATATCTTAAAATATCCTGGCATTCTTTTACAATATAGCAGGAGGAAATACAGTTCCTAGAAGGACCATATATCTCAAGCAAAAAGTATCCCTAGGAAAAAAGACAGATTCCTGGGGCTTCCCTGGTGGCGCAGTGGTTGAGAGTCCGCCTGCCGATGCAGGGGACACTGCTTCGTGTCCCGGTCCGGGAAGATCCCACATGCCGCGGAGCGGCTGGGCCCGAGAGCCATGGCCGCTGAGCCTGTGCGTCCAGAGCCTGTGCTCCGCAACGGGAGAGGCCACAACAGTGAGAGGCCCGCGAACCACAAAAAAAAAAAAAAAAAAAAAAAAAGACAGATTCCTGAAGATAAGTTACATTCTCCAGAATACACAAAGTATGTGGGATCTTTTCAATATGAAAACACCCTCAGAGCCACAATTCTCTTAGAACATATGATTGGCATGAGAGATGCATGTTCATATCCCTATTGTAGGGGGGGAAAGCCTGGAGCTAGAAATTTGGAGACCCAGAATTTACTCCATGCTCAGCCAATAATGACTATGTAACTTACATCTTGAAACCTCAGTTTTCTTATCAGTTAATGGTGAATCCTTGGCTTATTTCACAGAGTAACTGAAAGGATCAAATTAAGTAACAGAAATGAAAACTTTGTGTTCTACAAAAGTATTACTCTGACAATTATGTCCAACTGAGGCTGCCCCTGCATAGACACACTCCCAGCTCTGACATACCTTTAATAAATAACATGACACTCCCAGAAATTCCATTTCTTAGAATTGACCCTCATATGCATTAAAGTATAAACACATATATACCTATACACCTTATACATCTGTTACGGACTTTAAAAGTTATAGTTATACATACTTTTTTCCATTTAAAAATGTCTCATATAAATCTTGGGATTACCATGCCTCTTAGAAAAAGACTAAATCCTAATTTAAATACCAGTCCATATGATCTTTCCTGTTCAGGCAACCTTTCCCCAAATCTTTCCCCAAAATATAGATGAAAAACAATAAAATGACAGAAGGTGTCCACTCATTTCACAGATGAGGAAACTAAGGCTCAGAAATTTGCCCCAGGTCTCAGAGCAACTTAATAGAAGACAGAGGATATGAATGTGGCTTTCTAGATATTTCTGGGCCAGGGGTCCAGATATTTCCATACTCCCCTCTAGGATTTTACTGGAACTCAACAAACTGAAGCTCATCAATTATTTTTTGATGGTTACTGCTGAAACAAAATCAAGTGCAGGAAAATGTGTATTATCCTAGTCCTAAACTTCTTGGTAGATTGAGAAAATAATTAAAGTAAATAAAGTAAGCCAGGAGAGCACTTCCCCTCTGTTCTCCTTCCCTCCCTGGACTCTTCTAAACTAGAGCCACTAGGTGAGGCAGAGCAAGAAAGCGCACAGTGGTGGCCTGGCATGGGTATCGGAGCCCGAGAAGGCATCGAGGGCATCCACATGGAGAAGAGTCCAGTGTGGGGAGCCAGAGCCTGAGTAAGATGAGAAGTGTGTCTATATATGGGAGTAGCCCAGTGGGGGAGAGCAACACCTAAGCAGGATGAGGATAGCATCCATGTGGCAGAGGGAACAGCAGAAATAATGGGAGATTGAACAAATAAGTAAATATATTAAGGGTAATATAAGTCAGGTTTCTCACTGTTTGAGAAGGGAGTCACAAATAAGGAAATGAACCCTATGCTATTTAATTGAAATATAAATCAGACTGAAGACATCAATGTGGATTCATGGATCGTGATAGATAAGACAGATACAGAAGTAAACACACCACACACACACACACACACACACACTCTACTCCTGTCACTGAGAGGCCCTGCAGGCAAGCAAATCTGGCATCCAGGCTTGGCTTCTAGAAGGAATCAGTATCCAGAGAGATGGCTGATTCCAGGACTGTAGCAGGGAAATTACAAGATGAACCTAGAATATCTTGAGCCAAAAAGCAAGAAGGTGCTCAAAAGATGATGGAGACATGTCAAAAAGACACAGAAGTCACATGAAGGGGCTTCCACTGGCCAAATATGGAACAGTTTGAGGATCAAAATAAACAATGAAAATAGTGCACTATAACTCATTGAAGAAAATAGGAAATCATGAGTTCATATTGATATAAACAAAGAAACTTGAAAGTTTGAGGAAGATATTGACAATATTTACAGACTTTTAAAGTACCTTCATGCCAAATACCTATTAATTACAAAGGGAAAAATAGAAACTTCATCAGGGCGAAGCCAGCAGACAGCACTTTAATCACGTAATCAATGTAAAAGTCAATAGTAATGGGACAAATCAAAATCATGCAGCGCCCGACAGGATGAAGTAAAAGCACAGAATCACTTCTGTGTTATTCCTACTAAAGGTATATAACCTAAATCTAACTTGAGGAAAAACCAAACAAACCCCAAACAAGGGACAATGTACAAAATATCTGGCCTGTAATCTTCAAAAGTATCAAAGTCATAAAAGTTAAAAAGTGATTGTGAAACTGTTCCAGACTGAAGGAAACTAAAGAGACAGAAAAATTAAATGCAACATGTGATTCTGAACAGAATCCTTTTATTATAATAGTCATTATTGGGATAATTAGAAAAACTTGAATGAGGATTAAATGGTAATAATATTTATATTAATTTCCTGATTTTTGTACTAAGACATGTAGGAGAATGTTCTTGTTTTCAAGAAATACTAAGTTATTTGAAGTTGTGGGGCAGATGTTGACAACTTACTTGCAAATGGTTCAGGAAAAAGAATTATTTGCACTGCATCTGTAACTTTTCTGAAAGTTTGAAAACGTTTCCAAAAATTATTATAAAAAAAAAAAGAAAGAAAGTTAGGAGGCTGCTTTGTGAGATCTAGTAAATTCATTGATTTTTTTTTTTTTTTCAAACACCAGGCATTGTATTTAAGACTGTTTGGCGCCATCAAGTGTTCAAAGTTATGTATGTTCGCCTTAATTTGAAAACTGACCTTCCTGTGGTTATAACGTAAGAAATGATGAAGAATGAAACATTTACAAGGATAAGGATTAAAAAAAGTTATCAATCCCATTAGGTACTCTATATCAGTAATAACAGTACATTATCAGAAGAGGAAAACAAATCAGTAATCACGAGTCTGTCTTGCTACTAGTGAAGGACACAAATAACATGATGAAGAATGAAGACAAAGTTTGGGACTTCCCTGGTGGTGCAGTGGTTGAGAATCCGCCTGCCAATGCAGGGGACACAGGTTCAAGCCCACATGCCGCGGAAAAACTAAGCCCGTGCGCCACAACAACTGAGCCTGCATGCCACAACTACTGAAGCCTAGAGCCCGTGCTCTGTAACGAGAAGCCACTGCAATAAGACCGCACACCGCAACCAAGAGTAGCCCCTGCTCACCGCAACTAGAGAAAGCCTGCGCACAGCAACGAACACCCAACACAGCCAAAAATAAAATTAAAAAATAAGTAAAATTTTAAAAAAAGGTTTAGCATAAAAAAAAGAGAATGAATACAAAGTTCCACTTGATCCTTTTATGAAGAGAAACCTGTCAATAGCATTATAGCCTTGCTATGTGATGGTACTTTAAACACCAAAAGTATGAGGCTATGATAAGCTGATTAGCCCTCTGAGCATCTGTCATCCATATTCTTTACTCTAATGCTGACTGAATGGTTGCCCTTAAAATCTAAAAAGCAAAAGTGAAAATATGCAATTTAAAAAATATAACACTATTCTCATGATTTCTCAATATCTTGAAACATTTTACATCTTACACTGCCTTCTCACAAAGTTCAATAAAATGAGTTTGGGCAAATGCTTGCTAGGAAATAGAGTAGCTCTAATAAGTGTCCTGGAAAAAAACCATTTGATTCGGATGAGCACCTTATTCTTCATGCATTTTTCCATCACTATAGGAGCTTTTCTTTGCGCCAGCTACTGTGCTAGATACTGGGGCTATAGAGGTGAGTAAAATAAGATGCCTGCCATCAAGAAGTTCACATAATCTTGTAGGGGGACAAGACTGACATTCACAATTAATTGTGATAATTGCTATGACAGAGGTGGCAACCAGAAAAAAACTCCCCTGAGGCAGGAACAGTGAATGAATGGTCAAGTGCAAGCACCAGTCTGCATCTCTTCTGCTTCCTACTACTCTGTGGTGGGGATATGATGGGCAGCACTTGCCTAATATTGCTGGCCTAGCCACACATGCGGTTTTGCAGCTTTTCATCCACGAGGCTGACTGGGTATGCTTCACAGTCACATAACTATAGATTTAAGGGAACAGGGCTAGGAAGGCCCACCCAGGCTGTCAGATCTAGGCCCTGGGTGCCAGTACAGCCTACCGGAAAAAACCTTGCATTTGTGGGTGCTGGGCATTTGGCCAGTGATGATACAGCTGGTACTTCATTTTCCCATTCCACTCCTATCCTTGTGTACACAGCTTTCTTGGAAGGGAACCCCAGAAAATAAAGGGCAAGTGGAAAAATTAGGGTACCAAAACCCCACCATAAATTTGACTGATTTCACTGTCTCTCTCTTTCATGTCATTTCTTACAGCTGAACTTTCATGTCCTTTAAAATCATCTTTATATCCCCCGGGGTCAGGAGAGTTCCTGGGAAGCTGGCTTTTAATAAATGTTTATTGAGTTGAAAGCTAAAGCAGCAGAATAAAGTAGAGTTCAAAAGCACTTGGTCTTTGTGTAGCATTTATCTTCAAAAACCTTCGAAAACACAAAAAATTCATATTCAGTGCCAACCCTCTGAGAAAAACTGTATTTTCTATGAAGTCCTCTCTAAATCCGCATGGTCCATATTCTACATGGCTTCATCCTACTCAGATTGCTTCAAGAACAGAATATACCATCTTTATAAAGTTCATGGGCTACCCTAACTAAAAGCAGAGGCCAATGCTGAACCTGTCAAAGTCTCCAAATAAAACAAGGTCTCCATAGATATCAAACCATTCAACTGGGGAAGAAATTGTTCCTTAAGGTTAATGTTTAATCTACTTAAAAAAAATTGAAACCATCTAAAAAAAAATAGACAAATCAGAAAAGATGTTTTCTTACTTACTTTCCATAAGTTCCTTCATTCCCCCCCCAAGAAATATTATACATACACTTCCTTTAATTTGAAAAGTACAATATTTGGTTATCTCTAACCTGAAAGAATGCTCGAGCTTCTTTATACCTACACTCAATAAATCTAGAGTGTGGTATTTCTTCTAGAAAGTGCATTGGATCTTTTGGAATGAGAACTTCTAATCCATCAATAGTAACTTGTTGTAACTCTGGCCTGAAAACAAAAGTTAAGACTTATTATAAGGATTTAACTCAGAATATCGGCAGCCTCTTCAAAATATACAATATAAGCAAATAGTTAAACATCAAGCATATTTTCTTCCATTACCTCAGGTATCATTTTTAAAGATCTACTCTCTTAGCAACTATCAAATATACAACACAGCAGTATTAACTATAGTCACCATGCTGTACATCAGATTTCCAGAACTTATTTATCTCATAATAATTGGAAGTTTGTATATTTTGAACACTTTTACTTGTAAGTATGTAAATCCACAAACATACTTTATCCTGTGTTTGAACTCTTTATATATATAGAAAGATTTGTATTCTTTTATGCCTTATTTTTGTCACTCAACATTGTAGGATTCATCTCTGTTGTTGCACAGAGCGCGAGTTCAGAGTTCCTTGTTTCCCTGCCCTACGATTCTTCTCGTTATGCGCACATACATTTTGTGTGGGGCATTAAGAACAATGTTGCTATGAACATTCAGATATATATTATATTTCCTGGGGCACATGTGCATGAGTTGCTTCCTGTTGAATATTTACATTTCAAAACTGATTTACATGAATTACATTTTAGATTTAATTACTAAATGTAAAAGAAAGAATAAGAATTCATGACTGAATAAGACAGGTTTCACATCTCCCCTTCAGACCCTGAATTTACCTGTCAAAAGCTCCAGGATAACGACCAAACTTTAACTTGCGAAAAGGAACAAACTTCCTGTCAATGTGTCCTTTGAGCCGTAGATGGCCATGCCAAAGGTAATTGCCGCTCCTTTCATGGAAGACCACCAAGTGGACAGCATGACTGGCCAATGTGCAGATGTAGTGCAAGGGGATTTCAGTTCCAGAAAGTGAGTCTATCCCATCTAGCCGGGGGTCCTTGCTCTCGAACTTTAGGCACTGAAATCCCGTATTTTCAGCTATCCGAAACCAGCTTTCCTAAAACCAAAGAAACATCAAACTTGAATATTTAAAACCAAATACTAGTAGTGAAACTAAAATGATTCTTACACTGAATTAAGTCATACATATTTTTGTCCTAATCTGCTCTTTGCCTGAAGATTAAAAAATGAAGGTGGGGAAGGAAAGGTGGTAGTGGGAGAATAAAGGAAAGTACCAAAAAGAGAAACCACGTAGCATGGAAGACATGTTCAAAGACTCTCTTTATGAAAATTAATACAAATTTCTTCCTTGGAATGAGAATGCCCACTCATTATAGTGTTCTTTGGTTAGTATCTATAAAGTAAACGTTAATATAAGGATAGCACTTAAACCTGTAATTCTCAATTTCACTTCTAATAACCTTCAAAAGTGCTTCATAAAAGCAGGGTTTTCATCTCATAGTTATATCCCAACACCTTAAACTGCTACTAAAATAGAAGCCTATCATAATGCACATTATTAGAAAATAGACTGAGATATACTATAAAACAAGGTGCATTTTCCAACAGCATTAGTTATAGTAAAACTCTCACGTAACAAGATTAATCTATAGGGTAGATTTTTAATCCTAATCTGGACACCAGTGCTTTAGATGATTCACCAGTATTAATTATTAAGAACACCTTATATTTGAATAGAAATGTACAGTTTCCAAAGAACTTTTATAAACATTACTGCATTTACATATGACATCTATCTTATAGAGCACAGATATTATAGATAAAGAAACAGACTCACAGAAGTCCAAAGAAACAAAATTAATAAGAGGCAAAGCCACTGCCAGCATTTAGGTCTTATCTAACCAAATACAAGGTTCTTTCTACTCTACAATACTATTTCTTTAAGTCTATATTTACATAATGTGTACAAAGCTCATTCACATTAATTATCTCATCTGATGTCCATAGAAATTATGTGAGGTCAGCAAGGAAGATATTATACCTAGTTTATAATATACCTACAGTTAAGGAAAATAAAGTGGTAATACCAGACATTAAAGTTATTAAAGGATGGAAGTGCACCTGAAAGTCTTACGAGCCACAGCATTCATAAACATTTTTCAAGAGTACTTTATTTACATCACTTATTGTCTTTGAATGTTGTCATTTGGATTAGCTGTGTCCTCATTCATGCTCTTATAATACACACAAACCGTTATCATAGTATTGATTGTACTGTTTTTTAGTTGTTTAAACTCCATTAATAGACTGAAAGTTCCTCAACCATAAGAATCAACAAAGTGGCTATAGTACCAGCAGGTGCTCAATAGATACCTGTTGTTGTTGTTTATATTGTTAAACAAGAGAAAGTGACCATTCTGGTAAAGAATGCTAACCAGTATCAATAACAACTGTCTTCTCCTTTCTGGATATAGAGTGAAATCGTGTTTTGGTCAAAGGAATGTGGATGGAAGTATCAGATACCACTTCCAGGCCTGGCCTTACAATGTCCCATAAGACCTTCCCTGCTTTCCCTCCTCCATCTGTATGTAGGGAAGCAAAGAACTACAAGATGCGGAAGCCACACAAATGAAACAGCCTGCATCCCTAAGTCACTGCTTAGAGGAAAGTCATCCAGGAATATCGCTGACCAAGAATAACCACACTGGATTTTGTCTAGAGGCAAATACTCCTTTTTTGCCCTAAGCCAATGAGATTTTAGGGTTGTTTTTAGTAGCAACTAATGTAACTTAGCCTGGCTAATACAATTTCACCTTGGTACTCCTTATACTAGAATTATCAACTGTAGGATTCCCCTTTTTCATAAACCTAAGAGGTGGAAAGTACTGATTGAGTCTAAGAGTGGCCAACTCAGAGAAGGAATCTACTGTACAGGATGAAAGAAAAGCATTATAATTTGGTAAATTTGGGAAAAATTTAAAAGGCCAGACAGAACTTGAAGAGGAATCAGACCTTGGGTTGTGGGAAGAAAGACTGACAGACAAAATAGGCAGAACTATGAGATGGCTTGCCTTTTTATAATCATGGCAGAGGAAAGTCAAGAACAAAGTAGTTGCTCTAATCAAACAAAGCAAAGGCCTAGGTCAAGACTGTACTGCACACATCTACTCCCAGTTGCCTTGGCAGTAGTTTGCTCACTTCATGGTAATGATATTAACAAAGAAAAATCACAGGTAAATTAAGTCTATAGTAATTAGATCTGGTGATCTAATGAATTAGCTCTACCTTGGGAGAAGGTGTTGGGAGGACTACCCAAGGGCTCTGTATGATGTCATTTATGTAAAATGATAAACATGACCCTGTGTGCTTATTCTGGGTGTTGCTGACCTTTTGCTTCTGACTCTGGTCTTTCTGGTTTTGCCAATTATGGCATATTCTCTTTCTTCTAAAGTACTGGTTCTCAAGGCAAGTGGTACTGTAACCAAGAGACATTTTAGAAATTCGTGGAGATATTTTCAGTTATCAAAATGATTGAGGACACAACTGGCATTTAGAGGTCTAGGCCAGGTACACGAGACATCCTAAAATCCAAAATATGGAAATTTATCCTGTGTCCTGCATAATTTCAAATGTTCTATCAGATAGTCACGTAGTGAAAAACGTATTTGTAATTATGTGAGCCTCCATTTCTGAGGAATACAATCGCCATGTTAAAGGAGAGAGAATTTTACTTTTCTGCTGTTGGAAACTTGTTTACTGTTTTGGAAAACTGTATTACTAAAAACAATATCATTCATAATAGAGTCTATATTGGAAGTTATCACATTCAGTGGTCCTACTAAATAAGCAGGATAAGTGCAAGCATCTGAATTACTTCCTTATGTCTTCCAGTGTAGTCATGCCTGGGCATTTACACACTGAAATATACATTTCCTTTCATTTCTACTTTATACTATAGTTGAGACATTACAGGATTTGGGAGATTATGTATGTAGGTAAGTTATAATTTCTATAGACTTCGTTTTGGGAAAATAAAGGAATGATAAAATAGTTGTTGTAAAAAAGGTTTATGAGCTTTGTAGGCTTTTTCTATGAGGAACTCAAACAGTCCAATAGGAATGACCTAAAAATACTGACATTTAGGAGTCTCTGCAGTGAAAAAGCTAGCATACTCTTATTACCCTATAGTGAAGTCCACCAGTTAATGAGGCCTAACCAGAAAAAAATGCTTCCAATTGGTATTCAGTGCCTCATTCTTAAATATAACAAAGATCAATGAACACTATATAGAAAACCTGTATCATGAAAAACAGACAAAATAAAATAACCATACCAAAACCCAAACACCCACAAAGAAGGAAATTTCAAAAACAAAATGCGGTAGAAAGCAAAAGATTTTCTTTTAAAAACGCCAAACCTTGGGGCTTCCCTGGTGGCGCAGTGGTTGAAAATCCACCTGCCAATGCAAGGGACAAGGGTTCGAGCCCTGGTCCGGGAAGATCCCACATGCCGTAGAGCAACTAAGCCCGTGCACCACAACTACTGAGCCTGCGCTCTAAGGGCCCACATGCCACAACTACTGAGCCCATGTGCCACAACTACTGAAGCCCATGCACAACAAGAAGCCACCACAATGAGAAGCCTGCACACGGCAACGAAGAGTTGGCCCCCTCTTGATGCAACTAGAGAGAGCCCACGTGCAGCGACAAAGACCCAACGCAGCCAAAAATAAATAAATAAATTTATTTATTTATTAAAAAAAAGTTAAAAAATAGAAAAACAACAAACCTTTAAAATCTGAAGAGGGAAAAAGACAAAACTGCACCCATAAAATAAGAATGCTACTATAAGAAACAGAGTACACAGAGCTTTTAGAAAATAAAAATATTAAATTTTAAGCAAAATATGAAAAAAATCAATGGCATTGTTAAAATTTTTGTTTAAAAGTAGAACAGTTAACAAAAGAGATGAAAAAAAATCACAGAGCAAAGATAAGAAAATGAAACTTTGGAAGTCCAACATCCAAGTAATAAGTTCAGAAAGAAAGACACTTTTATTCAACATTATCCTGGGGGTCCTACCTAAATCAGTAAGACAAGAAAAAGAAATTAGGCATAAGAGTTGGAAAGGAAGAGACCAAATTATCTTTTTGTGCAGAGAACATAATGATCTACACTCAAAGAGAGAGAAAATGAAAGAGAGGGAGGAAAAGGAGGTAGGGGATTGAGGGAGGAGAGAGAAACTATTGGAGTTTACCTATAGAGTTCAGAGTTCAGTACAGTTGCTGGAACACAAGATCAAAACACAAAAGACAACAGCATTCTAATTCACCCATAATAATGAATTGGCAAAAGAAGAGGAAAAGTATCTACATTAACACCCCCCCATGCACACAAAACTATAAGGTAGCAAGAAATAAATCTTACAAAGATGCACAAAATCTGTAAGAAAAATATACTCTATTAAAGAACACCAAAGGACACCTATATTAAAGGAGATATATTTCTTGTTCATGGATAAGAACTCTTCACATTTTAACAATGTAAAGAGACCTTGCATGCTTTTGCTTTCTCTGACTAGCCTAGACTAACCTAGATAATGAAAGACATGTGGCCCAGGCACCTCCACTGCCTCATCTGACAGCCAGCTATCCTGAAGAAGCAGAGCTGCCTAGCTGACTGGCAGCTGTATAAGTGAACTTAGCTGAGACCAGAAGAACTGCCCAGCTGAATCCTATGCAAATTGCTAAGTCACAGAATCATAACCTACATAAATGGTTGTTGTTTAAGCCACTAAATTTGGGGACAACTGTTACACAGCAGAAGCAAATTAGAAATCAAACGTGCAGGTAAAAAGAAACATCTTCAGATATGCAAGGTTTCAACCTCCCATTCAACCTTTCTCCGAAGAGAATTCCTAAAATGTTGTGAAGAGGAGTTACACAACAGTATCTGCAGAGCAGATCAGACTGTATTAGGGCAGAAAGACCACGAGATCTAGGAGGGATGTCTCCAGAAAAAAAAAAAAGGAACTGAGAAATGATCTGACGTATTTGATCCTACTGAGAGTTTTATGTTTCTGCTGCAGAGTGCATAC